AAAAAAAAAAAAAAAAAAAAAGAATCTTCAAAATATTCCTAAATAGAAAACTCAACTAGAACATTGAAGGCTTTGGATTCATTCCCCAGAAGTATAATATCTTTACCTGCCATGTATAATTTGTATTAACTGGAGTCACTAGGTTGTGATTTACAGAAATTTTAAGTAAATATCTAGGTAAATATACATTTCTTCCTTTAGCTGCATTGTTTATATGCTGCCCATTCTATTCAATGGGATTGTTCCTTATGATCTGTCTGAACAATATTGTTTTATCCGATGTGTGTTTTTTGTAGACACCAAGGAGAGGAACTGTACCAAATGAGCCTTCTAATGAAGTAGGTCACCATCAAGGTCCCAAACAGGTGATGGTGTTGAAAGTAACAGAACCATTTACATATGACATGAAAGAAGACAAAAGGATGTTTCATGCTACAGTGGCTACTGAGACTGAGTTCTTCAGAGTGAAGGTTTTTGACACAGCTCTAAAGAGCAAGTTCATCCCAAGAAAGATCATTGCAATATCAGATTATTATGGGTGCAATGGGTTTCTGGAGATATACAGACCTTCCTGTGTGTCTGATGTGAACGCTAACCAAAGAATGGTTATCTCAAGTACACTGAGGCAAAGAGCCAATGCAACTCCGAAAATTTCTTACCTTTTCTCACAAACAAGGGGGACATTTGTGAATGGAGAGTTTGCAGTGATTAAGGTAAGCCATTGCATTATTTGTAAAATTTCTTCTGCAATCTAAGATTTTAAGTTCTAATTTGCTCAACTGGAATTTGCTCAACTTACTTAAAATGGGAAATCATTGCCTTCCATAGCAGAAAGAGATCAGGCAAGGTTTCCTCACTTTTGAGACTTCCATGATCTCTCTTACCTTTCTTTTCCTCCAGGGACCACCAGGGAAATTCTTTAGAAAGAGATTTATCAATAACATTTGCCATTTTTTCTGGCTATGACAATCCATCTATAGCTACCGTAGTCCAAGATACTGTTCAGTTTATAGCACATTTTCTTTTTAGATTTTATTTCTTTGATAGGTTTCTTACCTATATTAGGAGCACCTCAATTGTGAATAAAGAACCAAACTCCTTATCTTTGTTACAGTTTGAAATGATGAGTATAAGAAACCAAATAGATTATTCTGCCCTAGAATGGAGCCATGTCTAACAAGCCAGGATTGTATCTTTAAAATGTTCTTATTCTCATATTCTTTCTTCTTTTATCAAGATATTTTGATAAAGTGACCATTGTCTTAAATAATGAAATGGAAGTTTAACAGAAAAGTTTAATTTCAGAGTTTATAACTATACACAATAAAGTGTAGAAATTTAAATATTTCTATAACTTTGGAGTGTTTCTTTAAGTGCCAATACACCAATTCATTTGTATGCTTGTTCAGTGTATGATTTCTTAATTCCATGTATATGAATAGAGTCACGGCCTTTTACTTTTTATCTATGCTATCTTTGACTGTGCTGGTACATTCAGTTACACAATAAGTAAACTAAGTGGGATAGAAACTAAAACATTAGAAATAAATGCTGTAATGTCTTTGTGAGATTTGGAGTAGAGTGAATCAAGGTGTGCACAGAGCAAATATGACCCATTTTTAGAAGGAGTTGTGTGTGTATGAATGTGTGTGTACACATGTGTGTGCATGTATGTACATGTGTGTGCATGTGTATGCATATATGTGTGCTTATGTGTGCATGTGTATGCATGTACGTGTGCATGTGTGTATGTATATGTGCATGTGCATGCATATGTGTCTATCTATATATCTGTGTATCTATTTCTTGTGTTAGTTCTTTATTTATTTTTTGTCTGTTTTGTATTATCCTTGTTGCTTTGTCTTTTTAAACTGCCTGTTTGTTTTTTTAATCGAGAGAAAGATTTGGAGATGTCATAGTGGGTAGATGAGAAGTATCTGCGAGGAGGTAGGTAAAGTGAAACTATGATCAGAATATATTATATGAAAATAACTTTATTTTCAATAAAAGTTTAAAACAAATGAAATAAAGTGGGCTCATAATAATTTTCCCCAACCTCACAATGAACCACAAGTAACCTTTCTTCTCAGGCCTCTTGGGTAAACCTACAAAACTTGCAATGGTAATCAGATTGGTTCTGTTGTTTACTTCTGTTGTTTACTTCTGTTCTTTTTTTTTTCATTTTTGACCCTTTTCATGGGATCCTTAATAAATCTCAGCTATTCTGATATGTGACCAGTAGTGCATAGAAAGACATTTATTTTTCCTAAAGATACCCAGTAGATAAAGACCACAAGCCAGTAAAGCTTAAGAGTGGTTTCCAAGGGCTGGAGAGATGGTTCAGTCATTAAAGGCTAGGCTCACAAAACCTCAAGAGTGATTTCCAGGAAAAGAGTTGTTCACTGGAACAGCCTAAATTATTTTGTTCCTGCAGTTTTACTTTTTCAGTATCTATTTATTTTGTCTGTGAGGGTTGAGAAGAAACACAAAGGTCATAAAACTAGTATTGAGGTTGGAAAGCAAGTTTCAGTAATGAGTTCTCTCCTGCTATCATGAGTCCTGGTAATTGAGCCCAGATCTTCAGGCCTCACCACAAGCACCTTTGCCCACTGAGCCATCTCACTGCTGCTTGTACCTGCAATTCTAAACCTAAGAGCCATAGTTGCCTTGTTGGGGACAGGTTTATGTTGACACATTTTATTTCCTATAGATGTAACAAGCTTTGACATATTTCCTAGAAGATTCAATGTTAATTTGCTTTGGGTGGTTTTTTTTTTTTTTTTTCAGAAAACTGAGAGGAATAAATTCATTTACTATGGAATTGAAGATGATACAGGGAAAATGGAAGTGGTGGTTTATGGACGACTCACCAATATCAACTGTGAACCAGGCAATAAACTTAGACTTGTCTGCTTTGAATTGACTTCCACTGAAGATACATGGCAGCTGAGGTCTGTAAGACACAGTTACATGCAGGTATGTGCTCTAGGAAATGCTGTTCTTCCTAAGAATCATATATTTTTTAATATTCTAGTAAAGCTTGACTTTTAACATTACATAGAAAATCCAATAGGCAGAGGAAAAATTATGGTTTGCTCATTTAACATAAGTTTATTTCTATTATTTTTATAAAGGTTTTTAAATCATAATAAGGAAAACAAATTCAGAAAGACTCAAACACTGTTATGTGTTTAGCTAATTGATTTAAAAGAAAACTATCCCACTTATCAAAGCAGAGAGAACACTTGACAAGAAAATTAAGGTGTTTGTTTCAAATTCTGACTCTTTGATGTTTCAAATTGACCAAAGACTAAACACAAAGAACCCCAGGCTCTTCATTTATAACATGCAAATACTTTCTATTGCAGAGGATCATGAACAGAAATCATAAGTTCCTACAAATGCCCAGAGAAAATAGACAACAAGGTGTTGCAATAAATCTCCAACCCAAAAAAGCCTGTGCAAAGAACACACCACACCACTCAGTTATAATATTTGTAAGTTGCACAGCCAGACTGGGCAGATATACCACTACACTACTCTATTCCCCAGCTATGAGATCACTTGCTACTTGCTGCTTCTCCAGGCCACGTGGTTCTGCTCCATCTTCCTTCCACCTCCTCTTGGTCTGTCTTCCTCTGTCTCCTCCTTCTAACCTGCCTCTCTCCCTCCTCTCTTCTCTCTTTCTAAAACCTCCAGCCCCACCTTTCCCTTACACTGCCCAAACACAGGCTCTAGCCTTTATTTGACCAGTTAAAATGGGGCAAAATTTCACAAGAAATCATCTGAGTAGTAAACCACTCCTTGTTGGACAGCCCCTCTTGAGGAAGTGGAATTAACATCAAAATACAAACAGCATCAGGGCAACAAGGTGCTAAAATTCACCCTACTTGTCTTACTTACACACACCTGTGTGGGATTCATTTTATACATACACACACACACACACACACACACACACACACACACACACACACAACCTATGACAATGTAAACAAAAGAAACAAGTGGTGACTTCTTCATTCATACAGAAATGCTCTTACACTATCATTGTTCTCCAAACCACCAGCCATTAGTCAGCATTCCAATCCTTCCCACATGGCAGCAAAGCCTTTTTTCCCTCTTCCCAATCTCCCTGTTCAATGAAACTCTACAACTCAGTCCTTGCCTCAGGCCTTGCAACACTTTCCTTTCTCCTGTACCCCTGTAACACACCCTACTCTTCCATCTATGCTCAAATAGTAGGAGTGACTAGCTAATTTTATAATCCCAGGCAAGGAAAGAAAACTGACTCCAAGTACAGAGATTCACTTAAGATCAGAGTGAGAAAAAGGCATATGGGACTTGTGGTGAGTAGTCAGTAAGAAAAGCATGGAACCAGCTGTATTTCAACTGATCCGACTTCACTGTTTTCTTCTTTAAGGTCATCAATGCTAGAAGGTGAAGAAAAACCACTCAACACAGATTCTTTCTGGAACCATAGTTCAGAAAACCTGGATGCTAATGATACTGTTTACAGAGATAAGATTCAACTACGGAAAATAAGTGTGCATATGGCCTGTTGAAATACCAGCCCTATAAAAACCAGCTTTTAATTCTAGGAAATGGTGCTTTCTTATAATCTTTATGCATTTTTCTATTATCTAAATTCCATATTTTGCCTATATAATTTCTATAATTGTTGATTTGTAAATTTTTATAACTAAAACTTTTAAAACACACACACACACACACACACACACACACACACTTTCTGTAAATCAGTATGCCTTTGGGAATATTTTTTAACCATTTAACCTTTTGAGAATTGCTGTAAAATAAAACCATCCTCAGAGAAAACTGGAGAATACAGGCTTCAGATGTGGTGTTTAAGGAAAAAGCATGTCAGGAACAAATAGACTATGTTTTTTTCTGCCCATAAAAGTCAAGGTATTAATAAGATGTGGAGAAGGTTGAACTCAGACTTGAGTATAGTTTCCAAAATTGATATGCTGAGGACAGGATGAAGTCTTCATACTCTTTATGCTGAGTAATGTGAGTGCATTATAGAGTTTAGTTATTTGGAAAAAAATCCCCAAATAAGGTATTTAGGGTGGGGGATATTATTTTCAATAGTGAAGAATCACATCCTCAGTTCCAGGGTGAAATAAAATAACTGGAAACCTTTAAAGCAAAATGAAAAAGGCTTATGATAAAATAAATCAAAGGAATTAAGAAATTAGTATTCCCAGAGAGGCCTTTCTAGAGTTTTGCTTACTTCTCTCACTGCTGTGAAAATTTACTTGATAAAGCAACTGAAGGAACAATGAGTTTATTTTTGCCCATGGTTTAATGGTGGAGAAGGCTGAGGTGGCTGGCTGTGTACCTGCAGCAGAAAGCAGAAAGAGGTAAATTCTAGAGTTAATATTTCCCTCCTTCCTTCTTCCCTCCATCCCTCCCTCCCTCCCTCACTAACTCACTCTCTTTCTTCACTTTCATCAGTTAAGGACCTGAAGCTATTCAATGATACCACCCACACTTAAGATGAGTGTTTGCAAATTCCTTAATGCAGTCTAGAAACCTCTTCTAGCACATGCTCAAAGGATTAAGCCAAGTAACTCCAGATCCTGTCAGGTTTACAATCAATATTCACAGTCACACAGGGCAATGATGTGAAATGGAGGTAAGCAGCATAGATGGGGGTTTTGACAGCAGGAATATAGGCAGGAAGAGACAAGAGCTAAGGTTGAGTGCCTCTCTCATCTTATAAATCCATGTCTTACTCCTCGTTCTAATGATACTGGAAATTTGAGCGTAATGGGATGTGTTTTCTTCGTGGTCTCTTCTCATCTATGGATTAATGTCACTAAAAAGCATTTGTAGAAGGAACTTCTGTTTGTTTTTTTCTTATTATTTGTTGTGCTTTAGCTTTGCTCTTCCAGCATGTGAGGGTGAAACAGACTATTGCTTAGCACCTTGACACTCCACTTTTCTTGTTGAATAACCATAACTCCCTCTCCAGCTAGAGATCATTATCAACATCTGCTGTGTACACACAACAGTCTGCAAACAATATGCCAGAAACCTATTGGCAACATGGGCACCCACATACATCAGATAGAAAATATATATGTTATGAACCTTTAAAATGATTACTGTCCTTAGAACTACTTTCATTAAAATCTTATGTATATTCAAATATGTCACAGAACCTTCTTGATACCATAAAAGAAGGCTTAATTCAGTCTAGACTAATTTGAGTAAATGTATATTTAGACAAACTGTGTCTTTAAAGTGAACTTTTATGATGGATATCCTGTTTACCACCTCCTTCCTACGTATACTTGTGTGTACATAATCAAAATAACCTGTTCTGTGGAAAGGGACATACACGAGGAGTACATGCCTACCTTATCTAGCCCATCAGTTGAAATAAAGACTCACCTGTGTTACATCCCTTCAGCAAAACAGCTTCTTGTCTTGAACTCTATGAAAGAAACTCCAAGCAAAAACTGGAGCCCGTGAATACCTTTACTTATGTGGCCCACAATTGCTCCTCACAATATTGCTTTCTGATCTGTACTGTCATTTTGCTTTGAATAAAGTTTCACTGCTTCTATACAAATCTGTGTGAGCCTTTACCCCACATCTTTAAATAAAAGGGCAAAATTTTGGAAATCCCTGGCTTAGCCTCTGAATGTCACTGTATTCTTAACAAACATACAGAAAGAAAGAAAAAAAACTCATCAAATACCAAAGATTACGTCTTGGATTTCCAGACTTCTAGAACTGTGAATAATGCATTTATTCCCCTTACATAACACTCTATCTGTAATGTGCTAATACAACACAAAACAGACTAAGACAGAATGAAAATGTGTTTTACATGATAATGCAACACAGAGAATTATATCTTATATAAACCAAAAATTTTAATATATATTGTATATTTAATATATGTATACTATATAGCTTATGTATATTAAATATACAATTGTATACATACAATATTGTGTATCATATATTTAATATATAATATCTATATTCATATATATATATAAATACATACATAATCTACAAATGCTATGCAATGAAGACAAGAGTGACAGGTTCTACCTATATACAATGGGCTAGAACTATACTATATCTACATTGTGGGACAATATTCCTGAGGAGATATGAATAAATGTCTACACAGCCCAAAGTTCACAAACAACCAAAGTCCAATTTGGTGAACCAATGGGACTTATTTTTAGTTTGGTTCTTATAAGAATATTGATGAGGCATTACTTACAGTAGCAGAAATGACCCACAGACAGCAATGTCTCCAGTCCATCCCAAAGTGAATAACAACTCACAACAGCTAGAAACCTGGGGTATTCTTCACAGCCTGCGGACAGTACAATGCGCTGGAGAGAGCCTTCCTTGGGAAATTCAGTGGCTCTAAGCCTTTTCCAGACAGCTTGGTTCGTCTCCAATTTTCTAGGCTTATTTAGCTTGTCCTAGGGTTTCTATCAACATGCCTGACAGCCTATACATCTTGGGAGAGAGAGGACACTAGTATATCTGGTTTCCAGGACTTCCTGAAGTCTCTAAGTTGTTCACATCTTGATCTTAATGATCCTCCAGGCAGAATGGGAAGCTTCACCCATTCTTAGAATACCCTGCTGTTCTACATCCTTTTTAACACCCTGTGTCTTAACAAGCTTTCCTCTAAGGTGAAAGATTTTGATGTGGGGGGAAACTGTTATATAACAGTCCCTATAATGTTTGCATAAGGCCTTCCCTTCTCTCCTGCCATTAATTTTGCCACTCAAAGTGAAGAGAACGACCAGTGACATTGTTATCAGTTTCTCCTGTGACTTTTGGACAAAAGAAAAAGTAGAATGCCCAGCACAATGATGGCATGATCATTACAGTGGTAACCAATTGCTTTCAGTCTGGAGTTGAGGCTTGCTACACAACAGAAAATTCAAAACCTGTCACCTGGAGGCCAGTAGGCCCTAGAGAGGAACCATATAATGTATTGTCAGTTTCCCTTTAAAATCTTCATGTTTCTATCCACAGATTAGTACTACTCTCAGCCTTAGTCAGAGAAGCAGCTTTTTTACAGTGAGTTGCTCTTAATTCCAATGACTCAGAGCTAGGAACTTAGTGAGCAGGTATTGGGCTCTCCTCTTTAATTGGGACTACTATGAGCAAAAAGAATGCCAGTGACTTAGGCAGCCAGAAACCCTTATATCAATGCTGGCTGTTTAGAACACTGTATATATAAATTGAGAAAACTGCATAATTTTAAGTCATGTCTTCAGCTCTCAAAGGTGCAGCTTCAATAATTTTATTTCAAATACTTTATATCAGGCTTCTATTTTCTGTCATAAAATTTGAAGAATCTACATGAACTGGGAATCATTTCCATGTAAGCCAGAGCAAGAGCACTTTCTCATCACCTAGTGGAAAGACTTCAATGATTGGTGCAAACAAGAAATTTCACGTGTATGTGATGCACACTGTAACAACTTTACACAAATCCTTTTCTAGATGTTATTAGTAAGTAACTTAGGATCACTATGTGATCCTGAGAGAAACTGTTCTGTAGAAACCTTTATAGAAATATGAGCTTAATCCAAATGAAAGGATTCACTAAGGTATCTTCTGTCTGTCTGTCTGTCTGTCTTTTCATTCCATTTTTCAGCTTAGTTTGGTAGTAAAGGTCATGCTGGTAACATGAAAAAAGAATCAACCCCATTCAGTCATTCCTGATAGCCCATCTCCATCCCTTCATGATTCTCTGATGACTCAAAAAACTTCTCTTTGCCAGGCATTACAGAGTCAACATACTTGACTGAAATACACATTGGCTAACTGTGCCTTCCTTTCTCTCCTCCTTTCTTGTATCATCAAAGGACACTTGATTATTTTACAAAAATAAAAAAGAAAAATATACATAGGAGAAAGTACCGAACTTTCAATGGTACTGGTCAAATTGAATAGGTATATGTAGACATCGAATAAAAATAGGTCCATATCCTTCTCTTTACACAAAAAATCAATTCCAAATGCATCAAAAATTTCAAGATAAGGCAAGATATCCTAAATCTGATACAAGAGAAAGTGAGGAATGGGCTTGTAGTCATTGGTACAAGGACTTTCTGAATGATCCCTGATAGCACAGGCCTTAAGATCAACAGTTAATAAATGATACATTATGATGTGCAAATCTTGAGCAAAGGCTGCCATTATTCTTAGCCTACAGGGTAGGAAAATTTTCTAACGATCAAGTATCTGACAGAAGGTTAGAATGCAGAATATACAATGAACTAAAAATCTGAACATCATAAGAAAAAATACCTCTATTAAAATGGGATATAAATGCATAAAGAGGAATCTCAAGTAATGAAACACAGCTGTTGGAGAAACATTACAAGCTATCAGGATGATGGATATTAAAACTACTCTGATATTGCATTTCTCTGATAGCTAACATTTCTCTCTGATATGTCAGCCACTTGAGTTTTCTTTATTGAGAATTCTCGGTTTAGCTCTGTGCCCAGTTTTAATTGAGTTAATTGTTTTTTGAGGTCTAGGTTCTTGAGTTCCATATATATATATATATTGGATATTAGCTCTCTATCACTTGGGAAATCTCATTTATTAGTTGTTGATCTTACTGTTTGTGCTCCTGGTATTTTGTTTAGAAAGTATTTTTCCTGTGCCAATGAATTCAAGATTATGTCCCACTTTCTCTTCTATCGGGTTCAATGTACCTGTTTTAATGTTGAGGTCTTCAATTCATTTGGAGTTGAGTTTTGTACAGGGTAGTAAGTGTGAACTTATTTGCATTCTTCTATATGCAGACATCCAGTTTGACAAGCACCAAAAGGAGAATATAGTGTCTTTTTATCCAGAGTGTATTTCTGTCCTCTTTACTTAAACAAACAAACAAACAAAACAAAACAAAAACTAAGGTGCTTATAGAACTTATGTCTAGGTTTTCCATTTAATTCCATTGATCAGTATGTTTGTTTTTGTACCAATGCCACGTTGTTCTTTTATTACTATAGCTCTGCAGTGCAAGTGAAAATTGTGTGTGGTGATGCCTCTAGCAGTTCTTTTCTAACTCAGGATTTTTCAAGCTATCCTGATTTTTTTATGTGTGTGTGTGTGTGTGTGTGTGTGTGTGTGTGTGTGTGTTTTTTCAGAATGCCAAAGAATAATAAAGGCAAATGACAGTAATGCTGGCTAGGAAGGAGCAAAACTGTTTTGTTTCTGGTGGGAGTATACACACTATGGAAATTAATGTGTACTTTCCTCAAAAAGCTGAATATAGTGTTTTTTTTCCATAAGACCAAGCTATAACACTCTTGGGCATATACCAAAGGACACTATATTATTCCACAAAGATACTTCCTCATCGATGCTCGTTGCTGTTCTATTAGTGATAGTCAAAGTGGAAACAGTCCATCACCTGATGAAGTGAAATGAAGATATGAAGTATTTACACAGTAGAATATTATTTACCTGTTAAGAAAAAATGTAATTTTTAAATTTGAAGGTAAATAGCTAGAACTAGAAACAATCATTCTGAGTGAGTTAAGGTACCCCAGAAAGAGAGACATTGCATGTTTTCTCTTACATGTAAATGTTACCTTTTAACCTTTGGTATGTATATTTTTGTTTAGAATAACCACAGTGGTTGGATAGCTAATAAGGGACCAGGGGGATGGGGAAGATCTTCCAAGGAAGAATAAATATGGCATAGTATTACAAAAATATAAAGGGGGAACAAGAATAGGGGTAAATGGGTAAGCGACAGGGAGCAGGTCGAAATAAGGAATAGAGGGAACAGCAAATAACATGAAAGACCTTTTTGAAAAGCCATATAGAAACCTACTACAACCATGAAGCTATCATTCCAGGGTAAGTGTTGCTAAGCCTGAGTTGCTAAGCCTTCAAGAGTTGTTAAAAGTAGAAGAGCGAAGAGTAAGAATGGCTTAGGACTGTCTCCCCAAGAGCTACAGGGCCCTGATAACCAAGACATGTAGGCAAATTGCAGCACTAAAAAGCACCATTTGTAGCTACTCCTTCTAATCTGCTACTTTTTCTGTCAAAATCAGAGGGTACAAGAGCTGCCAAAGACCAGATTTGGAAAAATTTCTTGCATGCCCATCCAGGTAAAGCACGTGACCCTAAGACCCTGAACAGTAACACCACAAGAATATGATCTGTCTTGTAGATTGGCTGAGATGACCTCACCACCACCCACTTTCTGGTGCCATTTTTTCTGTGTCTCAAGTTACATAAACACTGGAGATTCTTCCTTCTCCTTCACAGAAAAACACTGTCAGTCAAAGGTCATTTCAGGTTCCTGATGTGACAAACACTAAGAGCTCAGTCACAGAAGTGAAGTCTTCCAGGGTTTCATTGCATAGGCATACTCTACCCACTGGGCTTATCCCTCCTTAAATATCCATAAATAGTGCAGAAATACTAACGAAGCATTAACTTATTCACCAACTGCTACATCACTAAACTGCTAAAGGAAAGCAGTTTAGCTTTTGTCCAGAGGGCATCTAATTCCAAATCCTTTCCCATTTATTTATTCGTCAGTAGATGTGCATGTGTGTAATATCCTTCTCAGGTTATTTTTAGGCTGGGAGAATTATTAATAAGTGAGA